TACAACATCTTTGTTTGTATGTGGTGCTGAGGATCGAACCCGAGCCGCACGCATGCCAGGAGAGCACGCTACCGCTTGAGCCAGCCCGGGTTTGGATCTTAAATGTCGCCCACAGGCCATGTATTGAGGCTGGTCACTAGCATGTGAGAGGTGATGAAACCTTTAAGAGGTGGTACTTAGTAGAAAGAAATTAGGTCACTGGGAGCAGGCCCCCAAAGGGGATAAAGGAACCCTGGCCCCTTCCTCTCTAAGCTCCCAGTCTGCCATATATAAAACAACTCTGTTCCACAATGTACCCTCCCCCTATAATGTTCCGCCTAATCAAGAACCCAAAGTAATAGGGCCAAGTGAATATGGACTGAAACCTCAGAAACTGTGAACCAAAATAAATATTTTCTCCTTATAAACTGATTATCCCACGTATTTTATCACAGCAAGGGAAAGTTAACTAACACACTGCTATAATATGGGGGGAGGGGGAACTATTGAGGAAAGGTGATAAATCATACAACTACTGCTTATTCTATTACAAGAGTAAAACAATAAACACCTTCATTTATGAATATGGTATAATTTATAAACCAATATTAACACATCAACAATGTTTTCTGAAGTATACCAATTCAGTATATCCGAAAAATATATGAACAATTTAACATAAATTGAGTAAAGTACTTGGTTTAGATGGTCTCTACCCAGAGCAGGAGGTTTAAGTCAGTTGCAGAGAACTTGCCTTGCAAGAGCAAACTGGACAGGGTAAAATTCCTATCCTTAAAGTCAAGTAGTATAAAATATCAGATTTTCTTTTGACTAATTTGTAGAAAGTAAGTAGGTAAACACCTACATGAAAAAAAGAGGAATTGATCACTATTGAAGTTCAGTGTTGAGTACATGAGGAATTGTCTCTGGAAATGTAAGAATGTAACCATAATCAAAAGTTTGCTTAAACAGGGGAAACTAGGTACCTGTCATATAGTGACTCTCTCTGTACTACATTCCAGGCTTTTCTATAAATCTCAAAGTAGTCTAGACTTAAATTTAAAAAATGACAGTTTGTTTA